ACCAGAAGTTACGCATGGGGAATATCTAGTCTGCCTTGGATCGACCAGTTCTATACCCATACTGATGAAAACGGATTAGTACATTGACGGTGAGTTTCAGTCTGCACACAATACGCTGAATTAGACCAGTGCAGTTTTATAATATTATTTCCTACAGGGTCACAATGCTTGTAGTCTTGCAATACGAATTATGCGTTATTGGCTGTCAGATGTCACTACTGCCGCTATTCAGTGTCAATAAAATATTGCGTAGATAAATAGTTTAATCCGAATGCAGTAAATACTTGTCTTACCTTCAATAAATATACATATGTATGTATAATATATTATATACACTTTCGTACATACTACATAGGTGTGTATGTATATACACGTACACATTAGCACATGAGTTAGGATTGTTCTTATTTTAGTATTGGAATTTTATTTATACACATACATACATACATACATGCTCTTTGTGTTTACACACATACATACACGTATACATATACTATGTAGCGTTGAGACTCCTTATAAGCATTATGCTCGAGTTGTTTTTTTTTTTGTTTTTTTCAAGAAAAAAAATGACATCAGCTTAAAAAAGTAGAAGGAAGAGGCATTGAAATTTTCAAAATGCGCTTAATGTAAACAGTTAAAAACAACAAGTGTCTCAAGGGAATTTGACCAACTAAAGCGGATAAGAAAAAACTACAAAAACCTTATTCATGCCAAAGTTGGTAATGTCCCATTGTCACGTCCTAAATGTGTCCTTGTATTGCGGTGGGCACATTGATGAGTTATGTTGTCCGATGACGTCACCGCCCTATGAGTAGGTAAAACATGTATCGATCACATAGAGATGCGTGCAAGTGCATATGTGACGACATTTACAATATATTATATAAATGCACAAAATTGTTGTAAATGTTTGTGTGTGTATACTCGTAAATGAACATACGAGGCGTATTTAGAAAGTAAGTGTACTGAATTTATGAAGGTTTTAACCTCTCTATGCAGGTGATGCAGCGAAGTATTATTTTTTTCATACCTTTTTCGCAGCATTTTCCCTCCACCTCCTCCTTTACGTCCTCGTCCCACATGGTAGACAAGGATTGCCCATTAACTATATGGGCATATTTTAGGCCTTTCAATAACCCTCCCTCCCTTTAGCGTGATCTTTCCGGTGACGCCGTCCTCCCATGGTTAATGGGAAGTGGTTTTCTTTCACACTTGGTTTCGATTTATAGTATATTTTTTGCATTAAATTGAACGCTTGATTTACCATAGTTAGATTTACCCGATATACTTATATGCTCTATAATTTTTTGGAGATAATGTCCTTACGCCTCTCTAATAGAAACCCTTGTTCCTATTAGCGAAAAGTTGGGACAATCGATTTTCATAGGCTTCTCTTGAGGCATATTCTTCACCAGCCAAATCATTCCACATAGCCAAGAGCAGATAGTTATCCGGATTATAATGTGGATACAGAAAAACCTGACAAACAAGCTCTCGGAGCTTCTGGCGGGTTACTATCGTTGTGTATGGTCTGACGTTATCGTGGAATAAAAAAAATCTTGCGAACTTCTAGGCGATCCTTCAGACGCTTTAATTGCTGACAGTATAGGAATACGAATTAAGAATTTGGCCCGTAGAGGAGTAGCTCATAGTAGATTATTCTTTGTCAATCCTACCAAACACACAACAAAACCGTCCTGGCCGGGCTGCCCTTCGACCACGTCCGTTTTCATTTGACGTCACTGTGAGTGATCCACTTTTCATCAACACTATTCTTCTTTGCGCATCCAGTCTTCTTCAGGCTTCAAAACTTCTCCTGTTATCTTTTTTCAGTACAAAATATCATCTTTCTAACGCCATCTAGCGTAATCCATTCACACTTATACAGGGTTTTCCCATAAGATGTATTCTGATATTCAAAGAAATTTCCCCTAAAAGACCGCTGTACCACCAACTGCACCAAACAGTTACACTTTGAGGATAGAGAAGTTTTCAACAAATAATATTGGGTCTTACGCGCCCCAGATGTGATGTGGCCATCGACGTGGAAAGGGCCTCATCAGGCAAGATAATTTCTCGATGAAGTTCTTATATTAAATTTTAATAATTTCAAAGCATTTATCGTTCCATTTTTATTACTGGCGTAGTTTATACGGATCAAATGCCAAAAACTTGCAGCCTCAAATGTGACATCTTCCTGAAATATTCAAAAGAACACCTCTCACTGCAAAACCTTATAAAGATTCTGAGCAAAAAAGCATTGCAAAAATAATGAATTACTTTTTAATAAACCCCATAATTGGGATGAGCCACATAGTTTATGGACGCTTCTTAAAGAGATGGTAATCTGATACCAATCTTCGATCATTACGAGGCGCATTTTCGATTTTTAAGACATTTCGTCAGTCACAATTGTAGGTCATCCGCTCCACTGCTCGTCATGCACAGATGTGCAACACCACTCATTGTGTTATATATCTCAACCGGCGGTTTTATCTGCCCAACGAGATGACAGATGACGAAAATGATCGGTTGTCCAAATCATTCTCCCAAATCTGCTTTCAAACTGGAATATAGCCACGAACAACCTGAAATGAGGAGCGTAATTGATCAGATGATCAGAGTTGTGAGCTCTTACCCCGGCAGTAGGCGCTATGTTTTCTTACCTTCCTTGGAGGCCGTAACCGTGATCTCGAAACGGTGTCATTGCAAGGAGAAGAAGTCGACTACACTACAGTATTGCCAGCATGATGAATATAAAACTCCTCCGGCCGTGAGTGCCTCAGTACACTTTCTGGATATGCCTCGTATATATGTATATATATATCTGAATACTATATGCAGTTTAATGTTTCTTTATGAAAACAAAAACAATTTAAATGAAATAACAAAGCAGAGATTGCTGCTTCGATAGCAATTTTGGAGCGTTAAACGCTGCTGCAACTCGAAATACCTCATCGCCCCTTATTCGGTAAAATCAACTTTGTTACGAAGAAAAAGCGAAATGCAATTTTATTTAATTTTTTTTCGTTCCTTTGGGCATAAAAAACTTACGTTCACTTAGCACTTACATACATACATACATAAGAATATGAGTTGACTATATAAATAAAATCAATAAAAACACTTTCACAAAATAATAACAATAATATATAATATTATAGGATACCATGTGATGCATTTGTTGATCGCAACCTGTTTCTCTGTTGAAAATACTCAAATTCTTTTAATAAGCTGCTGCCTGTCGTAAGAGGCGACTAAAATCCAATAGTTCCCGCGACAGTCGGGTCTTTATACCGGAACGACCCGGATTTTTATCCGGCCAAGGATTGTCATTCCGAAAACCAATTCGGGGAATAATTTGTAGTTACAACAACAACAACAACAACAACAACAACAACAACAACAAACAAAAGGGAGGAGTTTCGGCGGGCTGGAGCCAGAGGGAAAGTGTGGTAGTGCTGTGCTGGGTATCATTGCATGCAGGACATTTGTCCAGATCTTAATTGTGCCAGTATTGCTCGGGTTTGTCGAGGCAGCATGAGCTTCGTCTGTAATAGCTGGTGAATGGATTCCGAGAAGAGAGTTCAAGAAGATGTTGACGGACTATCGGGTGAATGGCGTTTAAAGCCTGTCTGGCCATCCTGTGCCGTGGATCTTGTCTATAGAGCTGAATGGAGTCTGTCTAGTTTCACTAGTACCAGGCGTCCAAATTGGTGCAGTGTAATTTATGACCGGCCGGCCAATTACCTTGTTTGATGCAAGTAAAGTTTATTTGCCTTTACCCCAGGTGCTACCGACTATCGATTTGAGGATTTTGTCAAAGTCAAAGTAAATATGACTACTAGGCTTGGGTCTTTGTGCGTCGAGAGATATTTCTTTGTTCTCGTTGACTACCAAAGCCGTTCGTTTCGCTTGTCTATGGCGCCGCAGTTGTTGAGGCCAATGGTGTCAGCATCATCTTCATTTACTCGTATGGAAGACTGTTGACTCAAACCTCGTATAGCAACGACCATTTAAGTCTCTCATAGAAAGCTGACAAGGGGCAAAAATGACCATCGATATTTTTTAAGAGTCCTTTTCGATTGCAGATTTCGAAAAGAATGGAGATTCGCACTCTGCAACTTTACGAATAAGCAAACTTTTTTTTAAGCTCTACAGAGTCGGAAGTTTTCTGTTAGTAAACGCATGTTCTTGGTCGCGTAGGATCGAGTGCCGTAACAAGTTCTATAATCCTCCCTCTATTCCCAGGGTTAATAAAAAAAGCTATGCGTCCCCCTATTTGTTGAAAACATATCAAGACTCACACCAGAAGTTAGAGGAAGAAATCGGTCCTAAAGTGTCAATTAGTCACAATAGTCGAACAGTACATGTTACCATTCGGAGGTTCATAGGTTCGAATCCGGACACCCCGGAAAGGAATGTCAACCGAAGGAGAAGATTTTTGACAGGAAATAAAATAATTTACTTTTTTGATATGAGTATTAAGTAAACTAAAGGCCTGGTTGTTTGTACGAATTGAATATTTTTGTTATACAACAGATCACCACATCTCCTCATCAGACTTCTTATGGCAGGGATCGAACCAACGGATCCTGACTTAACAGGCGAGTGTTCTACCACCGCGCCAACATTAGCTATGTAATCTATTGTTGTATTATTCAATGCATTATTAACCAACAACTATTAAGTGCGCTAATTTAGCCGCTATTTTCTTAATAGCTTGGTTAGTGGGTTGTTTTGGAAACCTCTATACTTTCAGGCGCTAATTGACCGAAAGTAATTCTCATTCAAATTCATCACTAACTTCAAGCCTGCCGAGAAAACAACTGTAGTTCCCTCCTTCTCTTATATAACACACCAACAATAGGATGGGAAGTTCGGTTGAAATTATTTTTCATAAAATTTATGTAATTTTAGATGTCGGTCTGGCGAGGGTTTCATCCCACAAACTTTTACTTGTTAGCTACTCGGTATATGAAGCAATTTAAAAACGTCAATTTTTTTTTCGATTAATAATTTTTATTTTTATGTGTAAAAATGCAGTACAAAACTCTTGTTAGCAGAACCTTTCTACACATGAAATGTTTTTTTATAAAATTTTGTATTTAAAATCGAATTTCTCATATAAAACTGCTTTATTTGCAAACTGAAAGCTACGCTTAAGATTATGTCGTGTAACTATATATCTATATATATAATATTTCTTCATAAAACTAACTAGTCAGTTCCACTTTCAATCGATTTTCATATACCTTAATATGTATTATTTAAAACATTTACATATTTCAAAGATCTCACTTAAATCTAAAAGATAAAAATCATGCAGTAAAATCACAAAATTTATTTTATTCTTCACCTATAAAGAATAGGGAGATTCTTAACAACTACAACCTAGTCTATTCATAAAAGAAAACTTATTTGTTTGGCAATACTTGAGATAAGCGATAGTGAATCTTTAGCTTTGCATATCATCATGATCACTAATGTCTATGCTTTATGCTTTACCAAATTATGAAAATATTGGGGTATGCGATTGCTAAAAACCTTACTATCGCACCATATAGTAAGCATTATAAGGAATGTAAATTCATTTATTTAACTTGCCGATATATGTATGTATGTATGTATGTATGTTTGTAAGTCTAAGGTGGCACACAATTTCCATCAACTTTTGCCTATATTTATCATCCAACTTTATATCGCTTACATGCTATAAAATGTATGCAAATTAATTTGCTATAAATATATAATATATAGTATTATGTTTCATAATGAATTGGAATATATGTATGCTATGTATTTTAACAAACACTATCATAACGCGCTTATATTATACATATATGCGAATAAATCTACTTAAAATTATTGGAAAATAAATGGAAGAACATTCAAGGAAGTTTCGTCAAATTTCTAAAATCTATACTTTTAAAGCTTATAAAAAATATTCATTTGTTATAATTCGTCAGCTATCACGCATTTGAACACGTATTTAACAGTAGCCGCAACATAACAGTCACTTGGGTGTTTAACGTTCGAGCAACTCGAACGTAATTTTACTTGAAACACTTTCCAATTGCACTCTTAATTAAATAATAAAAAGAATAATAAATATATATACTCCTTTGCATGTGAAGGATGGTGGGGTTGCGCAAAAATATATTAGAATGGAATTTTCGGACCGCCAAATTTATATGGAGGAATTGAGTTTAAAGTTTACTGTTTTTTTTTTATTTTATATCCCCCAAAATAGGATAACAACAATTGTATTTATTTATCAAATTAAGCTATTTGAAAAACGTCCGATCAATTAAAAAAAAAACGAGAATTAGAAAATATCCTTCTTTAAGTAAATTAAATTAAATTCTTCAAACTGTATTCAACATTTGCACTAAAAATATGTAAGATCAATATTTCTTTCATTATCTACCTATCTGGTTGGCGACCAAAAATATATATGTATGTCTTAAATACTGCATATATTAATCAGTGACACCCAAGTGTACTAACTGTTGCATGCAACGCTGTAAATACGTGGGATCTGGGAACATATTGAATTGAGTTTTGTGATCAACACTATTCCAAATGACAACATCTTCCCGTCCTGTGGTTACCGAACGACCAATAGAGAATAGCAGCCGCCTATCAAAGGCAATCTTAAGAAAACGCAGCACTTTGCGGCCAAGCGGGCAGTCAGGTAAGTAGCAGACGCGTGGAAAGCCCACAGCGAAGAATGCACGGCCTGGATGGGGATGCTCCTCGGTTTGTACGCCAGATGCAATGCTGTAAACATATTCAGAGATTTAACAATTGCAATAACATAGTAAATTTAAACTTAATGCTTACTCGTAAACAATTTGTATGGTATTCTGACTTTCGTGGCCAGGCAAACTTTTACTAATGATACTCCACGACATTGTGCCATTCGGCTGATTACCAACTTTCTCTCCGTAAACAATGCCACACACCGGGCACTCAATGAAAAGATTCTGAAACAACAACAACAAAAAAACAAAAAACGTTTACATACAGTAGAAGCTTGATAGCTTAATATCAGCTCAATTGTGATTCAACTAACCTTTGACATATCACCCTGCTGCGCAATGATCATGCCATTTAGACATTGTAAGTGCATTAGGTGCTGACAGCGCGTCAACGCAATAGTTGGATTCTGTGCGTTTTGTATCAGTTCTTCCATGCACATGGGGCACGGCTGCGCATTGGGCCACACCGGCGGTTCTGCCAACTTCACAAATCTTGATATCATATCGCTCGCAGGATCCACGCCCACAATGGAGCCAGCAATAGCCGACTGTTGTGTTGATGACAGTAGGTGCTGTTGAGATTGATGGGATTTTTGAGTGTTATGAAGCGTAGCAACAACTGTCACAGAGCCGCCAGCAGTACCAACTGGTGGTGCTAAATTCAACGAGCTCACATGGTGCGGCAATGGTGGAGGAGCAGGTGCGCGTTCACCCAGAGAGGAGGGCGGCAGCGATGGCACAAAGACCTCATCGCTTCCTAACGAACAGTCTAGTAAATCATTAACAGATATAGCAAAATTACGACTACGCAGACTTTCTTTACTTTCATGCGATAAATAAGTGGAAACGGTGTCTACACTCGGGCGCCTATTGGATTTCATACTGTTTGTGTCTGTATCAGAAATGCGTGTGCGCGATCGAGAACGATGTGAACTTAGACGACTACTACGTTGGGACTGTAAGGAACCATCTGAACAACGACTGTGGTGGCTTTTCATTGAAGCCGTTAATGGAGTTTTCGAATGTGAAAATTGCAAAGATAGGTGATTCGATGATGAGGCGATGGGGTTATGCCCCACATGGTTCATAGTAGCATTATTATTCAAATGCGAGTTGCTACTCTTTGTACTGCTGCCAAATATGTTGAGATTGTTTAGGATATGCCGCAAATTTGTAGTGGAAATTTCACTATTCTTTTTATGAGATTTGCTGTTGTTGTTGCGATGTTGTAAATGCGCATGCGCATTTGTTTGCAGGTGAGTGTTGCTCTGAGGATGGTGAAGTTGTTGCTGCTGATGATGGCCATGTGATAGATGCTGACTGGGTAGTGATGCCATTGCTGGTAACGGCTGAGGTTGCCGGCTTGCATGTGACATCGTAGTTGTTGGTAGACCATTAGTATGCGATGCCATTCGCTGCTGCAGTTGCTTTGTGTCAGCAATTTTCGCAGATGATTTGGGTAATGTGTTATTTCGCTTCACACAAAAATCGTTATAGAAATTTACTATAAAGATACGCAAAGTAATATGTATTGTGCTTTAAGTGATAATACAAACAAGTTACCATTTAGTTGCTGTGCTTGTTGTGGCGTCAATTTGACGAGAGGGTAGGGTGCCTGTTGAGTACGACGGATACTACGAATTGGTCCATTCGGCTGGCGTATTTGTGTTAAGTTGCAAAAGTTTATTATATATGGCGCACTGAGCCTTGTATTGCACAAATCCAATCGTTGTTCTCCCTAAAAGATTAGTTATAGACATTTGGTGAAGATTTATGTAGTTTGTACGCTTACCTTAGACCAGGCATCCTCGATAATGCACTGTAAATGCATGTTGAATGGGTGCCAATCACCCGGACCTGCGCTACCCAACCGCTCCCATTTTGTACCCTTTCCAGGCGGTGAACTGGGTGCATAAAACATGCGGCGAACACTGATCGTGGAAAACCCAGTGTCTTCTTCCAACTCTTGAGTCATAGTACGTATATTAACATAATATTGCTCAAGTTGTGGATCAGCATCACTCAAGAGTACTCGAGTTAGCTTTTTAGCATGCGCACGCTCCAAGTGCTGAGATACATCTGAAAAATATCATGTTTAATGTACAAAAAAAATGTAAATATTAAAATTTTATTATTTACCTGGACCGTAGGGTAACCATTTGCCAGTCCCAAACTCATATTCCCATACGACCACAGCATGGGTGGTCGGGCTTGAATTTAAGCCACCCGTACTTCCACCGCTACCACTTGTTACGCCCACACTAATTCCAACTCCTCCGCCACCACCACCCCCACCAACACCTATGCAACCGTGACCAGCCATTAGCACCAACAGCCGCAAAATGCCAAAATATCTATTACGTGTTTCACCCCCGCATAACAAAATCACTACGCACAAACTTTTATGTTAGAAATTTCACAATTTGTGCATCAAAAAGGATCCAGAGCGATAATTCAGGCATTCGGTATATCTGCTCTCAAATCAAACACCAAATGTCGATCACAAAATAAACACGAAAAATAAAAATGGTGGCACTGCATTCACCTGCACACAAAATCCATCATATTTGTTTTGCTGAAAGCGTTCAAATTACAATAGATAATTTCTATTAGCACTTTTATCTCACCCAAAAATTTCACTACAATTATGTCTACCTTTTCATTAAGAACATTTTATTGCAATCAAATCAGTGCATAAGCAGAGCAAATCAATTGATCCTAATTAAAATTATACGAATACTGCCAAAAGGATGTGTGGAGGAGAGGCAAAGAAAAAAACTGTCAAAGTGATCTCAATTGATTATGGCGTCATCTGATCGTCGGATTGACCTTCCATTGAATCCAATTTATACATAACGAATATGGTAAACAATGTTAAAATTGTTACATTGTTGCTCGATATTGGTATAGAGGGCTTATAAATTCTCTAATTTGCGCCTTAAAAAGTTTCTAAAATATTTGTATTTCAGGAATTTCGTTGATATTGCGAAAGCCAATTTCCTTCATAACTCTTGCGTGCGAACCATGCATGCCAACTTTTAGACGGCAGATGTCGCCGTGGTCGGCACAATTTGACATTTCTTTGACATCGACACGATTTCCGCTGGTTCGATTCCTTTACCTTTTTGACAGGCAGACGTAGAAGCAGCTCTTTTTTCGAGCCGCTATTAAAATCTGCTTTTTTCAATTACATCGCGTTTTTAAAAACAATTCATTATGGTCGTAAAGAAGGTAAATAGTTACGTGAAGTGAAATAAATAAGTGTATACGAATTCAATTTATAAAATGTTGGGAATTTCTGTGACCTCAGTGTTTATTATTGTGTTCGTTCGCTGACATTTTATTGGAATTATTTATTTCTCTTATAGCCTAAGCCAAAGAAGAAGCCAGTTACCAAGAAGGTAGCACCAGCCCCATTGGCCGTGAAGAAACCTGTTGTTAAGAAGGTTGTAAACCAACTCTTTGAGAAGCGTCCAAAGAACTTTGGCATTGGTGGGTTTCATTTTCAATTGTTTGTGATATTAGATGAAGTAATGTTTTCGTTTTATAATTTAAAGGTCAAAATGTCCAACCCAAACGTGACTTATCTCGTTTCGTCAAATGGCCCAAATACATTCGTGTTCAACGTCAAAAGGCTGTATTGCAGAAGCGTTTGAAGGTACCACCACCAATTCACCAGTTCACTCAAACCCTGGACAAAACTACAGCTGTCAAGATGTTCAAGCTGTTGGAAAAATACCGCCCAGAGTCTGCTTTGGCTAAGAAGCAACGTTTGAAGAAAATTGCTGAAGCCAAAGCCAAGGGTAAAGATGTGCAACCCAAGAAAAAACCATCTTTCGTTCGTTCGGGCACAAACACCGTAACCAAATTGGTTGAGCAGAAGAAGGCTCAGTTGGTTGTCATCGCTCACGATGTTGACCCATTGGAGGTGAGTGCTAATTAAAGACTTGAGGATTGAGATGATATTGCAGATGATGTTAACTTGAATTTCTTCAACTGAAATTATTGTAATAACAATAATTGGCTGTGGAAGCTTGACATACTGATTTGAGAATATACTATTTTTTATACACATATTTTTTTTTTATATATGAAATATAAAATATCTGTCTTACATTTCAGTTGGTTCTGTTCTTGCCTGCCCTTTGCCGCAAAATGGGTGTGCCTTACTGCATTGTTAAAGGCAAGGCTCGTTTGGGATTGCTGGTTCGCCGTAAGACCTGCACAACCTTAGCGCTGACAAACGTTGAGGCCAACGATAAGGCGAACTTCGCTAAGATCTTGGAGGCTGTTAAGACCAACTACAACGATCGTCATGATGAAATCCGCAAGCACTGGGGCGGTGGTATTCTGGGTTCCAAGAGTTTAGCTCGTATTGCTAAATTGGAACGCGCCAAGGCACGTGAATTGGCACAAAAGCAAGGCTAAGCAGCTGATGCATGTATCAGTTAAGTGTTTTTTAATTATGGGATTTTGTCAATCAGCAGGATGTAAAGACAAATGAAAAATAAATAAAATAGTTTGTACTGAACTTCCATGAAGTACGTATGATCTTGTAAATATATTGGTAGAACCTACTTCGCAGTTGGATGGGAAAGTCATGATATTGTTTGACTATTTATAGTAAATGTTTACACAGTTCAGTATGGTGTTATATTGCATTAAATATCTTAACTTAAAATTGAACCCGTATCAGTTCCGAGTCGACTTTAAAGATGGACTTACAACACGATAGTCATGGACTATTTCTTTAATTTAGACAGGATTATTACTTTTTGGGCTTTTCTCAAATATAACTACGCTGTTGGTTTTATAAAGAAACTATTTGATGTTTATAATTTTTTCGCATTTCTTTGTTGGTGTAATCAAAACCAGCTGCTGACTTTCAAAACTTTTAATTATGGAGATTGTCATTGACACTATCTGTGCGATACAATGTATTGTTATTAAAATTTACCTCAAGCACAAAAAAAACAAGTATAAAAAGAAAAGAGGAAAATTTTTAAAGAAAAAGAAGACAAAACAAAATATCAACATCAGTTTCGCTTTCACGACAATGTAAATTGATATTTATTTTCACTTAACATTACATCCCTATTCTGATGTCGTACGGAGGTATCGTCAATATCGATTTTTAGCAACCGGTCTTTGCACCTGTGATCGATGTTACTATGCGAAGCAACTCTGTATTGTATCACAACAACAAAACTATACATACGGAAGCGAATGCATTCAGTTGCGTATTTTACGGGAGTGTCTTAATTTTTGGTATTGTTTTATTTGATTTTTGTGCAACCAAAAAGATTCGCAAAGTGTTAAATATAATTGGGATATTGTAAAAATGAAATAAATTATGAGGAATTGTGCAAAAAATATGGAAAATTGAGTACGTTCTCTGAATAAATTTATTAGAAAAAACGGTGCGCAAAGCAAAAGGCGGCGAACAGAAACGCAAAGTAAAAGCAACGTTCGTTCATTCGGTGATTGGAACCACCGTTCATCGTGGCTGGCAATTTACATTTCGATTGAGTCGTACTTCGGGCTTTAATTTTTTTCTATTTACAATTAATTATACAAAAATAATGTAGTCGAAACTAAGCGCTTTACGTTAATTAGCACAACAAATAAATCCAAGTAATGCATGGCTTATGGTTTTCAGTAGAAATTTTTTATGTGGCGTAAGGAAAAATGCCCCTTCCTCTCAAGTGCATGCATAGGTATAAATCCAAGGTTGTTTTCCTAGATACTTCAGAAAGAAAATTGTCTCCGTTCATCTTATCTGCAAGTATTTTGACTTCTCAACTAGCAATATGGGGGGAGGATGCTTAGATTTGTATATAAATTTTCAGAGATTGGTAATTCAGAGTACAGGGTCGTCCTTACAGACTATTGAAAACAACTTTTCAGCATCTGGCCATTGTTCAGTAAGTGGGCGTTATTTTCTATAGAAATCAGCTGCATTTAGTTCCTTGAAGGCATTGTACTAAGAAGCACACGTTGCTATTCGTAGTATTGGTGCATGTTTACGATTTTCATATGTGCAAAGGTGTACATTGCGTACATTTCTATATGTACATGAACATTTGTCTCAAATATCGCTATAATCCTAAAGTGAAGTGTATACACATGTTAGCACATACATACATATAAAAATATTAAATATATTTGTAGCGAGATGCAGAGTGCGACGTGGAAAAGATGCAGGGCCAACAGCAACCAGTGACATTGTGAATTCAAAAACGAAATTTACAAGCGAGTAATTTGGTGCATACCTAGAGTACATTAAAAAAAGTTGTAAAGAAAAAAAATTAAATTAAATTGAAATAACTGCTAATAAAGCATAACCGAGATTGTTAGGAGCCTAGTGAAATGAGTGTATTCAACGATTTTCAAAGATTGTGGATGCAACGCTTTCCACAAAGCTCACTATCGGATGCATGGGAGCAAGATGTACGCGCCAGTCTAGACCGTCACAAGCAGAAAATCGTTGAACTAACAAAAGAGTTGGAGCAAGAACAATTGTATGTTGAGTACTTAGAACGACTACTGTCCGATGTAGAAAAATTTCGTGAATCTGGTGGTGATCCGACATCATTATTTGAAGCTGCTACCACCTCCAGTGGAGTGTTGCAGGCGGGCAATGAAGAGCATCAACTTAGCGGCGAGAATGTTGGTGGTGATAATATATCGGTAAGTAGGACACGTTAAAACTATTTGAGGGCTTTATTTTGATAATAACTAAACTAAAAAAATTATTTGTTTTTTAAATTAGTAAACATCGAATATGCATTTGTGCAAACTACTCTTTTGAAATTCAAAGTTAACGGATGTATTTAAAATAAATACGTTTTTTTAATTGCACCATACTATAATTATGTAGTATATAAATGATATCCATTTCCAGGTAAAAAAAAAATCATGATAAAATGCAAATTGGATAATTGATGTATTTAGTTTTTGTCTTTTTAAATAGTATTAAGGTTTGAATTTTGAATTCCACATCCATTTTACCTTTCCCCAATACCACTGTAACCTTGTGGATAGTTTTGAAATGCTTAAACCCTAACTTCAGTAATTAGGCAATCAGCAAACATCAGCAAGTGGTTGATGGTTAAAAGTCGGAGAAATCGTGTTATCAAGGCAAAGCACTTGCTACCCCTCTATAGCATTGGAATTGCAATTACTCAGCCTTATGTACATTAAGAAAGTATACATATGTACATTAAACCACATATGTACGTATGTACGCAGAAAAAATACGTCCGTTCGTGCTTTCTGCTAAAAAGGTTAATAAGAATTCACAACGGCGGAAACAACAACAACAATAACAATATTGTATACGCATACATACATGCATACATATATACATATAAATTAAGATTTGTCGACAGCAACAATGGCAATTGAAAAATGGCAAAAGAAGTTTTGTTATCTTATCATAACAAACGAGTAAGCAGCAATCGCCTACCACTGCCACAATCACAACGCTCGCTGCGTCAGCAGTTAACAGCAGAGATCAGCTACCCAGCGCTACCCACACACATTCATTTCAGAGTCCCTAGAGAAAAGAGTATGTACGATAGTAGTAACGCAGAGGCCAACCAGCCATCAAGGCAGTAGGCGAAGACAAACACGGAGCGCGTTTGAACACACAAAATTCCACTTTGCGAAACAAAGAATTTTCCTAAATATTGCAATTCAAACATTTTAACAAACTGCTGCTATCTATCAGCAGTTGGCACGGTCTCAACCTTCCCATCAGAAGAAGCGTACATAAACGAAGTCGAAATATAAGTTTTTCAAAGAAAGAAATATCACTAACACGTTGTGCACTGCCCAAATTGAAAAACTTTTGAAGGCTTTTACCAGACTGCATTGCATTTATGTGATTCGTGTCAAGAGAGACGACGACGGGTAAAAACATAAAAGTGAAATAAAAACAAAAGCGCGATATGAAAACAAAGTGACGTAGTAAGAAGTGAGAGAAATTCAGAAATTACGTAAAAGCGCGTGTTGCAACACGACAACAGTAACTTTTGGCTCATCCATTCCGCAGAAATACAGAAGACGAAGGGCGGGCGAGGTGCTTCGAGCAGAATAAACTTGCACTGCACTCGTATTTGTTTGTGTGCGGGTGAATCGTGCGATGCGCATCTACCACTGAAAAACGAGAGAAATAAACACAAAGTGCAAAGGCAACTCCCTAATATCGCGGAAATAAGAAATAGTAATAACCAGAAAGTGAAATAGTAAAAGTTAAAACATATTTATATAGTATAAAAAAGAGAAAATATATCATAAATAACAGAAAGAAGCAAAAACAGTGAAACCAGCGACTGCGGCGTTGTTAAGACGCTAGTAAGCCATTGCGTATTTCCAGTGCAGCTGCTGCAATGTCATCCTTCAAGGAAAAGTTTAAGCTGTGGACAAGAGGGGTAAACTTTGAATCGATTCTTTCAAGGGGAAAAAACAAAAGAAATTAATTTTTAAATATAATAATAACTGCTGAGGGAACACTTAAAATGTAATATCACTTGTAACAGTAGTTTGTTCAGTGTGCCTAAGTAAATAAGTACAGAGTGTGTGCTTACATACATACATACGTGTATGTATGATTGCTTGTATGTGCATAATATGCATATGTACATATGTATGTACGCACATACATAAGTATAATTCGATATCTGTGTTTTGCAGTTTGTATATAGATGTTTGTACATAAATATATATATATAATGCTAAATATATGTGCTTATTTTAAAATGTATGGGTGTACACTGATATTTTTTCGATTTTTGTGGTGTTTAAAACGCGATATTCATAGGCGATTTCATAGTCTGTGTTTTGTTACTTAGCCGCCGCCACTTTTAACCAGTCATTCGCTCGAATTGAGCTGAGCGTGAATCACAATAACGTTTACCATTTAATGAAATGCCGAACTCACGTCTCTCAGTCACTTACATTTGTATATAAAGGTCTTGGTTTTCTTGTTGAATTATTTGTAGATAAATCAGCAAGCTCAACTCTAGGATTCTTGAGTGGCTTGGATTCATTGCACTTATTGTCAATCCATTCGATAGAGCTCGATCACTCTTGTTTAGAGTCTTATGATATTTCCTTTCTGCACTCAACCAACCATACAACCACATGCGTGAAAAAAACACTCGTGAATTTCTCAAAACATTTGCACATAATCACACTCAGCTGGCTAAACTTTTGCCGAATTGTGGAGGAAATATTTATTAAAAATAATTTAAATTAAATTTTTATTTAATGTAGAATCGTTGTAATGAGTGCTGGCTTCGGGAATGTGAAACACAGACTGTTGGTCATTTTAAATCTAATCCAACAACAAGAAATTTATTGAAATTTTTTCAATAAATCAAATTAATGATTTTAAATTTAATATAAACAAAAAACAAACAAAAATTCAAATTTTTTCATTACACCATGTGATTTATATTGGTACAAAGCTCTCAAAACTAACGATAATAAGCAATTTATTTATATGCCACGAATAAAGTAATATTTTATTTAAAAAGTATTAATATGATAAAGAAAAACTCACATTTGGTGAGTGTTGAAATTTTGAAATTCAGGAAATTTAATTGAAAATGTTAATAACATTATAATCAACTCTTCATCATTTATTTTATCATTATGATTTCTAATATTATTTAATCATTATATTTTTGCAACTGAACAATCTATAGATATGTATATAGCAAGAATGTATGTACATTCCCTTGTTCTTAATTTGCCTTATTTAATGAAAGTTACGTTGTAGTTGTACCTCCCAGGAACATATTAAATTTTTTGGTATTTAAATTTAGAATTAAATATTAGGTCTCATATCTGAAAATTGGTTTGTATATAATGAAGTCTTTCGATATCGGTAATTTTCAGCGTAAATGTTTATTAACGTATATATATATTGGATGAGTGCATAAGTTCGTGCCCGATTTCAAGTGCAAACTAAAATTGAAATTTTTTGAAGAAAGCACTTTTATTAATCAATTATGTATTCGCCATCATGTTCGGCAATCCACTCCTAACGT